CGGCCTCCTGGCCGCGGCGGGGCTCCGTGCGGAGCCTCCCTCCGGCGGCAGCGGCGCCTTCGGCCGTCCCTGGCGCTTTCCTTTGGCAGCCGGGATGGAAACGGGAGCTTCCAAAGGCTCCTTGGTGGGAGCCGAGCGGGCCGGAGCCCTCGTCCCTCCGCACGGTGCGGCCCGGCGCCGTGCTCGACCCATGGGAGAACCCTCCACATGTCTCCAAGCAGGACAAGCCGCTGCTATCCCCGTGCCGGCTGCAGCCCCACGGCGTTCCTCACGGAAAACGAGGATGGGGCCTGCGATTTGCTCCTCCGGCTCCTTTTTCCCCAATAATTCAGGCAGCTCCAAGGCAGCTGCTGCTCGCAGGGTGGCAGAGAGGGAGCCCCAGGGGCTTTTCGGCACTCAGGCTCTATTTTGCGATGGCTCCTCCAAGGAGAAACGGATCCCGAAACATCGGGAACGTCCCCGGATGCCGGTTTCGGCCCCGCTAAGGGCGCCCGGAGCGCGGGGCCCGCTCGGCCGCGCAGACGGGCTAAACTCGCTTGCCTTTGCCAGGCGAGAAGCTCTTTGAAGAAGCTGCGGGAAGACTTAAGTAGTAAACTTGAGAGCAGACAAGGAGATAAAGAGCCTGCACAGGTAACGGGAGCATCGCTCGGGCTGCAAGCGCCACGTTCGACATCTCATTTTTAAGAACAGAAGCATCACTGGGTCCAGAGAGTGATTAATAAGTGCCTTAAAGATGGAGGTGGTGGCAAATAGCAGCAGGTGGAAGGAGGAAGGCGCAGGAGCGCGTGGGGGCCGCGTGTCCCCTCCGTGGGGCCGCGTGTCCCTCCCGGCGCGGCGCCCGCGTGACCTTCCCTCGCGCAGGTCGCGCTGGAGAAGCGCAACGGGAGCTGGCTGCACCCGGAGCGGCTGCGCGCGGATTCCTGGGAGGATCAGGTACGTCGCCAAAAGGGCATTGCTGCGTTATGAGCAGTAACGTGGGGTTTTTTTCCCTTCTTTTGGAATCTTGCTCCCAGCAGGCAGCTGAGAGCGTGTTCAGCATGTGGCCAGGCCTTGCCTGTTACAACTAGCTGTTGCTTTAGTCCTTTAGTAGCATCCGGTTGGCAGCTTTCTTGCAAAAATGCCAGGAATGGGTTTTTAGATCTCCGAGTATGAGAACTTCAAGAAGGAGGGCTCCAAAAAGTCTCCTTTTGCCAAATATTTCTTAAATTCTTTTCTTTTTCCGCCGGCCTCCGAGCAGCAGTGGCTCAAGGGCTGGGATTTGGGACCTGGCGCTCAGGCGTTGCCCTGATCCCGGGTTTCGGGTTTCCCAACGCGATCGCTCGGAGGGGCACGGAGGAAGCGCGGGATGTTGCGCGCTCCGGAGGGCTGGGAGCTGCCGCCCGCGTGTGGGAGGGGAGCCGATGCCGCAGGGTTTCCACCCGGGAAGGCAGCCGGGCTCCTCGGCCACCGTCACCGCTCGCGCCCTCTCCGCAGGAGGACGATTATCTGGGCGACGACGCAGAGAAGATCCGGCAGACGGCCCGGAGGGGTGCCCGGGAGCCGCCATCAGCGGGAGAAGGCCGCCTTCGAGGTGCCAGCGCGCTGGAAGGCCGCGGGGATCCGGCGGGATGCGGCCGGGGCGCTGCCCTTGCCCGGCGCGGGCGGTTGTTGGTCCCTCTGGGCGGTTGTTGGTCCCTCTGGGCGGTTGGGTCCCTCCTGTGTCGCTCTCGCGGCTGCGAGTGGCTGGCGGGGGGGGG